CAATGATTTAAACAGCTCTGTTCTGTGTAATAGAAAATCCAGTGTCCAAGTTCTGGCACGCCATGACAGGAATTCAATATGGTAAATGCAACTTGCATATCATCGTCGATGTGGCAAAAACCTATGTGGCATCGTCCACTTCAAGAAACTATTTCAACAGGGATGCTTCCTCTCTCGACTCGGTACTTACTTTTTTCATCAGAAGGAAAAATAACTCTAGCCAACATTGGATACTTCTTACGTGAGAGTCCGCGTCGACGCTGCAGAAGCAGATCAAATGTCGTTTTCGTCTCAGAAGCTCAGTCTGCTGGAGGACCTTGCTGATACAGCTGGGTCACTTCAGCTCGCGACGCGTCAAGTTCTCATTGCAAGAATCCTTTAAGCGAATTACGGAATGCTACTGGTCCTCATCCTTTGAGGACGGCAGAGGTGAGACTTATGGAAGCTTCTTCGCCAACAGTCGAGCTCTGTTTGTTCAAACGCACTTTATTCGACATCACTCAATTAAAAAGTAACTCTCTGTGGATGCCATGTGAAAGGTGTCGTCGCCTTTGTCGTCCAACATGGTTTCTGAACGGGTTTCCTCGTGGTCCTGACGGAATACAAAAAGTATCACCATGTGCAAACGGTCACCGGAGCAACACACTGAACCACCGGTGTGAAGCCATTGTCACCGAAAGCAGCGTGAGCGATGCCCCGCCACCCTTGTGAACTCTACGAGATAGGGAAGCAACTAGGAACTGACTAGTTGCTACTTGTAAAAAACAAAACTTTGTTCAATGTAAAAGTCCTAATCTATTGACGTATGTTTTGGTCCTAAGATTGATTCTAGTTTAACTGCTAAAAGCGTACCCCTAATGTCTTGTTCCTTCACCACTTCTTTGCAAGCGAGTCCATCGTTGATTAGACTGGGAGCTAGAGCTGGGCGATGTAGATGACCCGTATCAGCCAATCGGTGAGTGGTTTTTGTATATGGCACTCTTATCGTAAATGAGTTCACGGAACATTATCAACCTTCTAAGATGATGTTAAAAGTAATAAAAGAATCATAAAAGGTTAATAGCACATGTAACGCCTCCCATCTGTTTGTAGGTGACGACGAGCTTTTATTATGATGAACACTTACTCAATGAGTATATCACGTGGATTTCAGATTTTGTAATCATTTCGGTGAGATATGCGTCATCGAGAATATAAGTTTCTTCAAGATTAATGATGATGTCATCGTCGATCACTCTGAACTTCCGAACACTGGTAAATGCTATGTATGAAAACAAAGATGGCAACTCAATGCAAAACCTCTCTTTAATCTGGATTTCTTGTGACGAAGACGGAAAGCTCCATCAGGACTGCGGGCTTGAGACTAGCTCTACAGATAGTACATCAGAATGCTACCATCAACAAGTAAAGGTCCATACCAATTTCTCAAAGTGTGTGTCTATTCATGGCACAGGCGAGACCTCGCACAAACGTCGCATCGCCCCCTCCCCTTGTACTCCTCTACGTAATCTTCCTCGGACTTCCTCATCAGAGAAACGTCAGAGGCGATGCATAAGCGCCGCATACGCAAGGTCAGTACGCAAAAACCACATCCGCAATCATGTCCATCTAGATGATACGCTAGCAGCAACGACATACACACGCTTACTGTATTGTAAAACAGGTTACAGCGCCACTGTCTTCGATTGGTAACAGCCGAAGATCTGACCCAACAGCTCCTATAATCGCACCTGACTAATCCTAGCCAGACCTGCTGCTAAAGTGGAACCAAGAGAGCGATCGAAAGAAGAAGAAGAACGCACACTGTTCCGACTTCCAGCCCCACCCACCTCCCATCTCGTTCTACAAATCAAGCGACACTTGGCTTTCCCAACCATCTCCTCCCATCCATCACCGGTCGGTCGTGCTGTCGTCAGGCGCCGGACAGGGGCCGCGGATCGAAAACCGCGACATGGTCGTCGGTTTCGTCTGCGTACCAGGTCCCACTACTCAATCAATCGATCCGTCGGTCGATCCCGTACCACGTGCATTACGACCAATCACCGCGCTGCACGAAACAGCTTGTAGCCATCGACGTCGACCGCTCTCTCTCCTCGCGTCACTTGCCATTCTCTCTCTCGGTGCCAGCAGCTCCGTTAGACACAAATAACCGCCAGCATGAGCTCCAGCTGCACCCTCGTCGCAGACAGCACGGACGACGCCGTGCAGATGCTTTTAGGTCTCATCGCGTTGTCGCGCTGTACGCCAAATGGGGGTCGAGTGGCCACGGAGATCGGCCAAGGTCTGGTTCATGGACGCACTGAAGCAAGTGCTCGTCTGCGGCCATGATTCACGTGATGAACATTGTGCTCGCTCATTAGTCTTGTGGTTTCTTCCGATACACCGAGTGATCAGGACCAGGTAGGTGCTGATTGGTCGAAACTAAGAGCGGAAGTTGATGTCGCAACGCTCATTGGCTGATTCGGACTCTGGTGTTGTGTCTTTGTGCAGTGTGCGTTTTACTTTATGAACGTTGTGATCGACACGACTTTGGGCGTGTATATTGCGTATTTATTACTACAGCTATCTACAATCGTAGCGGTAAGATATCGAGTAGTGATGTGGTCTTTTTTACTGCTGCAATTGTTTGAAAGTTGATGCTCATGTGGCTGCTTGAACTTGTAGAATCGACAGCAGTGGAGGAGTCTGCAGTGTCATGGATACTATGGCGATCCGCCGGCGTGGAAAGTCTGGTGGATACAGTTGCTGCAATGGTGCACGATTCTAGCCGTTATGAAGGTCTTCGTCGGCGGGGTGATTTACGCTTTCTCGACACCGCTGGGCTGGATGGGCTCGCTGCTTTTCTACCCCGTGCACAACCACCCCAAGATCGAGCTGCTGATCGTCATGATTGGCTGTCCCTTGGTGATGAACATGATGCAATTTTGGATCCAGGACAGCTTTCTCATGAACCATGCTCAACACGACAATGAAGAGCTGCCACTTCTGCAGACATCCGTGGCCGGCGCTGCCTTACTGCAAAAGCCGCGCAGCGTGTCGAACGTCTCCAATGCCGCTGACGTGTACGATATGCTTTAGTCTTGCTATGTTTGACGTGCTGTGTAGACGGTGCGCTTTTATAAAGATATTAACGGCTTTTTCCATTGTTTTGCGTAGGCGAACGCATCCCCGAGACGTCATTGTGCGGACTGGATAAGCGGGTGGTCTTGTCATTCACAGCCCATATTTTCTTGCACTAAATAATGCATTAATAACAAAGTCTTGCTATTTCGGGCCATCCTAGCTGACTGGGGAGACCCAAAGCATGTTGAACATGTTGATTCAGGTCGTTCGATCGGACAGGCGGTGCCTTTGTTGAGCACATCTCGTTTACTCCACGATGTAGTTGTGCAGCTGTTGTTCAAGATCAAACCTACTCCAGGTATTGATTGCAAATTAGATAATCTAGTTGGCAGCACGGCCAGGAAATAGATCTCAAGTCATTTCCTTGTTGAACGCTTGGCATTGACGACACAAGTAAGGTGCCAACTCATCGTCCCAATAGATTCTGAACATGTGCAGCGATCGCCTTGTGAGTTTTTCAGTTGCACCATTTCATACTCGCGTTGTCACGAGACTAGAACCAGAAAAGCTTGTGTGCATCACAGTGTCCAGCAACTTGTATGGTGCTTCGCAGCACTCACAATAATTATAAGGCCGTCGTATGCTCCGAGCACTGACTCAAATCATTGGCCACCTGCAATTGGTGTCGATCCGCCTCACATTCTTAACGAATCGGCTTCATGGGTATTATCATCCCGGACACACGTCACTGGCTCGCAAGCCGTTCTTGCTCGATCTGAACAAACAGTATCGGAGTTACAGTCATTGATGGTGCTTTTAAACGTGGAGAAAGGCACAACTGCACGAGCAATTCTGTTGCAACTAAACCGACCATCCGACGTATTTTTTACAGGACTTGACGCCAATAAATACTCTGCGACCTCTTTAAGCAGTATCCGTCACGCTTGAGACAGAGGCATCATCGCAACGAAAACGTGCACTTACAAATGCCGACCAGAAGCTCTGATTAGAAAACTGGTAACGAAACCTAGTTACCCAGTTGCTCGATTTAATCCAAATGTGAGAATGAAAAAAGTCCCAAGTGATCGTCCATACCAAAGTCCTCCTGAACCACGCGACTTAGAAACGACCCCGCATCGCGTGTGCGTTAGAAAAACCCACCCACCCACACCCACCCACACCCACACCCACGCCCACACTCGACTCACGAGACAACAAAACACAGGAACCCCGTCAAACTTGATGCCTTTTCACAACAAGTGGATCCAGCCAGTCGCCACAATTCAATTGTGCAGCTCGTCCGTAATGGTCCGTGAAAGGAGAGGAGGACGCAATAGCAACGGGGAAGGCGCCCGCTCCACGCCGTACGAAGGAGCGCGTCATCGCCGTCATGGCGAAGAGTCTAGGGGGTCCCGGGGCAAGCGAGGGGGCGGTCGAGGAGGGGGTCGTCGACGAAGTGACAAGCCCAAGTCCAAGACCGTGACGGAGCTGGACGCGGAGATGGACAGGTACTGGGGCAAGTCGGAGGAGCACGCGAGCAAGAAACTCGATAGTGACATGGACGAGTATTGGAAGACGAAGGGGGAGAGCGGTGAGTGATGGGAAAAATGGCAAGAAGGGGATGGAGGGTGGGGGGTGATGGTGCTGACAAGTGTGTCGCGTTGTGTTGGTTGTTATAGTGAAGGAGAAGGAGAAGGAGGAGGAGAAGGAAGAAGGAGGGGACAAGGAGGATAGAAAAGAGGAGGAGGTGGGTGTTGCTGCTGCTGCTGCTGGTGGAGAGAAGGGGGACGTGACGATGCAGAAGGTTGATGGTGCTGCTGCACCTGTTGCGGAGGTTTCTACCGAGGAGACATAGGGACTGCTGCTTTGTGGGAGAGTGCGTGCTAGTTGGTTCTCTCTCTTTCCACGTTGGAAGTGGTTGCTGTTGTGGTTGAGAGAGAGCAGAGGAACAAATTGACTGCTGGTGGGAGATCGGCAAAGTGTTGATGGGATGATACACTGGACACAAATGTGGAAGCCGCCGTTCAGCCTGTCTTTCATTCTTTCGATAATGCTTTATTCGTAGTGGTTTTCTTCCGTCTCAGCCAAAGACTTCCTGGAGCTCGCCCATGGCAGTAAGCACTAACCAGAGTATACCCACGATCACGGAAAGTAAAGACGAGAAGATCGATATGCGGAATGCCAGGATCTCGGAGCGGTCGCCTAGTCGACCTGTAGCTTCACCGTACCCAGCAGCAAAGACCCCCATTGTGACAATGGATGTCAAGCAGAAGGAACCGAGATAGATGAACGACTTGACCGTATCGTGGAGCCCTACTGCAGGCAAAACACCGAGGATCCCACCTGGTCCCGCGATTCCATGCACGATTCCTACGAGCAACGCAGTGAACTGGAACAAGCACACACACCACAACTAAACAGGTTACCAAATGCATACCTCTTGTGCCTGTTAAATCCGAGGTGTGCAACCGGTGACGATAGCATTGCCGGGCAGTGATCAATGAGCTGGCTTTCCTACCTTCTGCGTGCGTGCGTTCCGAAAGTCGATCGTCGGAAACCTGACGCCGTCACACATGGGATCAGTAGCAAACTCAGCGTCGTCAATCCGACATCCTGCTTCACCAGTCGATTCGCTGCGATCCGGCAGGAGCTCTTCTAGCGCTACCATGCTCTCGCATGGACTAGTAGCAGTGGATATGGTCTCTTCACTGTCTGAGAGTCGTCGTGGCGGTTCTGCTTCCGCATCAGCAACAGATGACTCCACGCCAGCGGGGATGCCACCCAGCTCTCGAATCCTCAAAGTCTCCAACCTTTTCCATTGCAGTGATGCCTCCTCATCAAGTCCGTTCGACACCACCTTCCCGTCAATTAATTCCGCCCCTTCTTCGTCTAGCAATGTACGACCAGGACTTCCACCCTCCGTCTCCATCTCCGAACCTTCTCGAGCTACTTCTTCGTCCATCCCCTCTTGCACACAATTCTCCATCTTTCTCTGCTCCGAGATATCCTGATACCTCCTGGATATCCCTCGTCTCTGTCTCAACTTCTTCACCCCTTCATGCACTCCATAGAGTCCCAATCCAATCATAAAGACACCCACGATAACGTCTGTCACGACATTAAGCACGGAAAAGTCGAGTTTCCCGTCCAGTGCAATAAAGACAATGGCCATGACGATGAGGCCGATACTATGACCGCAGCCCCATCTGATTCCGAGCGAAAAGGAGCGCCACGAGGTCCCTGCAGAGAGCGTCGCTAAGGCGCTGAGATGGTCGGGACCCGTCAGGACGTGGACGAGGCCAAAGAGCGTGCCTGTCAGTATCAACTGGAGTAGAGACGCCCGTTTGAAGCCACTTGTCTCCTCGGTAGCGCCCTCTACAATCTCCTCATGCAGCCAGCGATGAGACGCGGCGACGTTCATGATGACGTTCACTTTGCAGGTTAACGGACTGGCTTAAGACTGAGTGTTCAGGATAAGAACGAGTCCGGTTTGCACCGTTGACCCGGCTATGCGGGATATCAACGTTTCGATGACTTTTTGATGGATGGAACGGCACCTGCTCGCTCGAAGAAAAGTCGCATCTGCTTGTCACTTTTTGTCTCTCTCTCTCAAAGGGTTCACTTTGGCACAACGCGTTGCGTGGAAAGGCAGGCCAATTCCTGTGAAAAGACCTTTTCGTGTCGAAACGAGTGGATGATGCAGACGTGCAGAGCTACGGGTCGAGCTGACTCGTCCACTTTGTGTAGTCAAGCAACTGCGTTTGGTATTCCAGCTGATTTTTGGACTCTTGTGCGACGCGGCATACGTCCAAGCAACGTGAACTGCAGCAACCGCGGAAGGTGAATGTGTACGAGTTGGGAGGTTTGCGTAATCTGCCGCACATCGGACGCCATCAGTAAGCGCCCAGCAGTTGACTATAACGTGAGATACTCCCAGTGCACAAAGTACACCCCTGCGACGTAATGTAGGTTCATGTGAAAAGAATTGGATCTACAGCAGACACGAAAAAAAGCGAGACGAGGCCCCGTAATAAAAAGAGAAAACAGGCGCACTCACTCCTGCTTCTTCTCCTCCTCCTCAACGCGACGCTGCTCGTCACATTTCACTCGTCGCGCTGTTCACGACGCTGTCAATCAAACTCCTAATCGACTCGATGCTCTCGGCACTTCCGTCGACTCGAGACAAGATTTCAATGGCAGACGCCCACTCTTTCACGACCTTGGCCTTGTCCAGAGACGCGGCCCATTTCTCCGTCTTGTCGTCCCCCACATCCCCTCCTCGACGCTCGACTTCCTTGACATTCTTCTTCTTTTTCACCACCTTCTTCACATCATCGTCCCCAACTCGCACTCTCTTGGTAGACGACGACGACAACGACGACGACAGCGGCGGTGGTGGTGGCGGTGCTAACACCACGTCCATCTCCTTCTCCTCCTCAAGTTCTGTAGCCACACTCGGCGTCACAGCCGAACTGTCCTGCCAATAATTGACCAAAAGGCCCAAGAAATCCACTTTCGTGCAGCTTTTACGTGGATGGAGATCCAGCACGACACACGCTGAGCGCAGCGTGCGGGAGCGACAGGCATTGAGCTGGTCCTGGAGCTCTTGAACGTGGCCGTGGGGCGGAAAGAGCTGCACAAATTGGGCCACGTCAGCCGGGAGCTCCATCCCCGCAGGTTTCTTCGAAGATTTCGAGCCTTTTTTCGGGGACTTTCTGGGAGTCGATTGTGGCGTTACGTCCGACACGGACATGGAATTAGGGGTCGTCAGCGCCAGCCAATAAGCAACGAGCGCGGAAATGTACCCGCCCTTTTTATTTTGTCGCTTTGAGATGCACAAATTGAGACGAGAACACGCCGCGCGCAAGTCGTGATGCGTAAACGCGCTGAGCTGGTCCTTGAGCTCCACGGCGCCAGCGTCGGCGGGAAACGTCTCCAGGTAATCGAGGAGACGGTGCACGGCGTCCAGCTCGTCGTCGCTGGGCGGGGTCGTATCGGATAAAGTCTTGATTGGACGTGGGGGGGAGTATGCGGACATGCTTTTTAGGGGGACACGGAGGGACTAAATTGGAGTGGCCAATGGCTAATTTTTGTGACTGGTGATAAAAAGCGGAGGTCTGTGTGTAAATGGAGGAATACGGTCACGTAGGGTACACGGGGTGGGTACAACCGCTTTCGTTTACGGGAGTCAGACTGTGCTCATTTCTATTGCGTTGTCATTTCTATTTTATGGAGACGGTAGCGGCAGGGACAGACAAGAAGTGCCAGTCGCCACTCGCATACAAAAGCGCTCTTTTTGGTGTCACTATTATGTAGTTGTAAATTAGTGCGGATCGAACACGAGGAACTCAATTTTACCAGTCCCTACTTTTGTAATTCGTTTCAGTACTTTTGCCCACACAACATCTTGAGCGGTGAAACTTGCATTCATGGATACACAAATCGTGTATGTGCAAGGTGTTGCCTTATATACCCATGCTGATGATCAAGAGACATCAAGTGCCACGCGACTTCTCCATTATGGTACCAAATGTCCACTGGTGCTGAACGCATAGTTGACTCGAAAGAAGACACTGCGCCTTGTACTTCCAGCGACCATGACTATTAGGGATCGGTCGCTGATCATGTTTGTACACATCATCGTTGCTTTGTCCAGTTTACGCTTGTAAGGCGCCATAAGTGTTGGCACTCGTGAGTAGCTGCATTTCAAATGGCACCTGCTCATGCTCAGCTGTAGTATGCGCGTGCAGCAGTGACACATTGCCGCTGTTTGCAAGCTGCAGCGAAGCCAAAAAGAGACGGCATACCTCAAACTGACTTTTGCCATCCACCAGAGTCTCAAACGGCACCGTGTCCCGCTCTTCTTCCTCTTCCTCGGACACCACATTAAGCCTAGCACGTTTCAACTTCTCACGCATTGATGATCCACTCAGCTTATCGAGACTGAAGCTCTTGTGTTCCTCTTCTAGACGCCCAATAATTTCTCGACCATAGTGATGGATATCAAAAGGCGGGTGTGCGTCCTGCTGCTTCAGCAATGGCGTCAGCTTCTCTTGCCAGTCACTCACTTGCTTGCTCAGATCCGTCTCTCGGACATATTTCTCCGTACCGGACATAAAAGACGCCAAATGCTGTCTGCAGATCTCCTCATACGTGAGCGGCCCATCGAAAGAACTCGCAGCCGCCTCAGCCTCATACGATCTCATCATCTCGTCCATAACATGTACTTGATCTACGTCGCCTCCATCAAACCCATCATTATAGTCATTGTCGTCACCGTCCTCGTCATCTCTGTTGCCACTCGCATCGTTCCGGAAAGCCATGCCCAAGCGCGCCGTTCCAGTAGACAGCACAAAGGCTCGCATCTGATCGTGTTCATCGACCGCTTCCTCCTCTTCCATGGCCTGCTCACGCAACAGCATGGCTTGTGCACTCTGTTTCTCGCGGGCTTCGCAACGACGCATAAGACTACGCCACTTCGCCTCACGCTGCCAGAGTGCATCGCAGCTTTTTGCAAGAAGCGGGGTCCGGCAGAACATCTTTCGACAAGCTTTCTCTAGCGGATTTTCACTTGCTGTTTCTGACCAGACCCACGATGCCCACTGCATTCCGTTCGATCCCATGAAAAAGCGATCATGGAACGCCGGGTTGGACAGACCATCTTGCTCTGCATCGTCCTCCACACCTACAACCCCTTGCTTGTTGCCCAACGCTCCAGACCTCGTTTTCGATTTCTTGTATGCCGGTACTCGTGGGTACGACCGTCCCTTCTTGAACGGGCGTGCCACCGATGTGCTGGCATCATACGCATCCAGTGGAGCCCACGGGTCCTTCTCACTCACTGGCATCGCGGTCACTGCAGCGCGAGACGAGTTCTCGTGAACTGCATTCCTCTGCTGCTGTGCGTCATCTCGAGCATTCTCCATGCATGCGTCCTGCATCGATTCACCAGCGTCAAACTCGTAGTCCGGCTGCTTGTCGAATGGATTCATCATCCCTGCATCATCGTCGTTGTCGTTATTATCGTTCGCATCCATATCGTCGAAATTCAGCGCAGTCGCCGGTTCATCTCCATCTGCAGCCACCCACATACCGCCGTACCGTCCCGGCGTCTCTCCAAACGCTGACTCAACAACTCGCTGCTGCGCGCCAAGATACTTTTTGCTCGCTTCGTCCAGTAGCAGCACGCCACTTGCATGCAAGTTACACGACAGCAGCTTGTACGTTTCGCCATGGTCGCGTTCATCCGGCACTAGTGACCCCATCAATGCAATCGACGCTTCCATATTGTTCTTGCTCCGATGCAGCGCCTTGGCCTCTTTCCTCTTCCTCCCTCCTCCACGACCGTCACACTCTCCATCTCCAGCTACTGCGCTCTTGAGCGTAATATGCGACGGCTTTGCTTCCTCAAGCTCGTCATAAAGCAGCAAAGCCGTGTCCAACACACTAGCAGCAGCTCCATTTTCGTCCTCCTGGGTCTCTCCAGTACCTCTTTTCCCACGCTCCTGACTCTGCTGGTTATCGTCCTGTTGCTGGGACAAGTGAGCCAGAGTCTGGTACACTAAAGCATGGAGATACTCGACTTTCCGACTGTAGATGAGACTCGTGCCCTGGATCAGCAGCGCAGCTTCAGCAAAGTTCATGACTCCAGTGGCCCCTCCTTCTCCATCTCTCGAGATTTGGGCACTGCCACTTTCCGGGTCAAACGCGATGCTCAGCGTCTCTAATTTGTCCATATAGTCCTCTAATTCGGTAGCCAAGTCGATGTTCCAGTTTTTACTCAAGTCGCTGTGCAGAGAAGAGACCATCCGGACGATCACAGCAGCAGCAACAAGGCAATACAGAGGCAGGGGTAGGGTAAGAAGAGAGAGAGAGAGAGGGAGAGAGAAAGGGAGGCAAAGAGAGCGATGAGACGTACCGAAGCGGCTGCAGCAAGTGCTGCAGACGTCCTCCGCTCATGATTGTCGGAAGTGGTGCGTGAGCGGTGCAATGTTGCGCGAATGGAGCGTGTGGTGGGGATGTATGTTGCTAGAAGGATAGCGAATGGACAAATTGACAATGGCGGGGCAGAGAAGGAGTTGATTGGGTGGCGGGTGTAAATATTCGCTTGGCCAATCGCTCATTTCCTGCTAACGCTGCGCGACTGCAATGGGTTCGTCGATTCGGGCTCGTCGATTTGTTTAGGGTTAAGTCAAATTTGTGGCGGGTGTTGTCATTTTTGATGACAAAAGGGGATACACTGTATTAATCAGTCGACGGTGTGTATGCGGAGATCCCTGCTGAATCTGATTGTTGAAGTGGATTTACTCAGCCGATTGAAAGATGAATACGTTTGGTTCAGAGAACTAACTACCAATAGACCGCACACTCATGCTGTCGAGCTGCATGCACAACGGACACACAACATAACCGTAAAACGAATCATCATGTGCTCGGCTGTCGAGAAAAGCTTCAACTGTTGCCTTCACGACCCAAATCGATTGCTGCGAGCGCAACAGAAGCTCAGAAAACCAGCAACTTGCAGTCCAAGCGCCTCTCTCCTCCTCTGCTACATCCCGTCTCCACTCGATCTACCACTTGGCGCGCAACTCGTTTGGAAACGCAGTCACAAAGTCAAGCCACTTGTCGACATTCGGGTATTTTTTCAAGGTGTCCTTGCCCACCACCTTCACGCGCTCAAATACGGCCGTGTCGTCTTTCGAAGGAGACGATCCGTTCACGAAAGTGGACCCCGCGAGACGCTTTTCCAGCACGTCCAGGGCCACCGAACCGGTCGCAGAGATCAGCGCAGCCGAGCCGCTAGCCGCTGCAGGGGCCGGGGCTACTTGTTCGTCCGGCTTCATAGCAGGGAAAAGCAATACCTCCTTGATATTGAAGCGATTCGACAGGAACATTGTCAAACGGTCGACACCGCAGCCCCAACCAGCGGTAGGCGGCAGGCCGTACTCCATAGCCGTGCAGAAAGACTCGTCATGGGGCTGGGCCTCATCATCACCAGCAGCAGCCTGCCCCATCTGCTCAATAAAGCGCTCACGTTGAACCTTGGGGTTGTTGAGCTCCGTGTAAGCATTGCAAACCTCTGCACCAGCCAGAAAGAGCTCGAAACGCTCTGTAAGAGCCGGTTTCGTGCGGTGGTACTTGGCCAGAGGCGAGTTGTACACTGGCTGGTCCATAATGAAGAACGGCTTGGTCCAGTACGCCTTATTGTCCTCGATAAAGTGGCCCACCAACTTGTCCAAAAGACGAGCAATCGAGCGAGGTGGCGCGCACTCGAGCTCGTACTTGGTCACCAATTCCTCCAAAACAGCCACACACTGTTCCGGTTCATCAATGGGTATCGTGACACCCGTGGCTTCCTCCACAGCAGACACCATGCTCACTCGCTTAAACGGAGGTGTAAAGTCGATCGTCACGGGCTCCTCGCCCGGCTCCTTCTGGATCGTGATGCTGTAGCTTCCCGTAACCTCTTTTACCATCTCGGAAAACAGCTTCTCCGTCATCGTCATGAGGTCATTGTAGTCTGCATAAGCCATATAAAACTCACAGCTCGTGAACTCGGGATTGTGGGTCAAGTCAATGCCTTCATTCCGAAACTGGCGTCCAACCTCGTAGACCCGATCGAGTCCGCCAATCACCAGTTGCTTCAAATAGAGCTCGGGCGCCACCCGCATGAACAAATTCATGTGCAAGTCATTGTGGTACGTCACAAACGGCTTGGCCGTTGCGCCGCCCACAATCATGTTCATCATAGGTGTCTCCACTTCCAGAAACTCCCGCTGGTCCAGAAACCGACGGATAAAGTTAATGATCTTGGCTCGGGTGTAAAACACGTCGCGCGTGTCATCATTGAGAATGAGGTCCAAGTAGCGTTGACGGTACCGCGTGTCCTGCTGGAGGGTTAGGCCTGCATGACTTTTGGGCAGCATGTGCATGCAAGGAGAGAGGAGCGTCACTTGCTGGGGGAAGATCGAGAGTTCCCCTTTTTTCGACTTGCCGGGGTGCCCTTCAACCCCCACGATATCTCCACGACGTAAGATGCTGTGGATCTTCAGGAACGCACTTTCACTCGAGTACGAGCCAATGTCCGACATGATCTGGAGCTTCTTGCCATCAGCTCGGAGGTCGTAAAACACCAATTTGGCTCCAGAGGCGCGTTTACTATGGAGTCGACCAGCAATTGAAACGACGACATCGGATTGGTGGGTGCCGGGTTCGATATTGTCATATTTCGCGTGAAATTCCGCTAACGTGAGCGTTGTGGTGAATTTGTGAGGGTAAGGGTTCACGCCCTCGGCTTCCAGGTCGAGCAACATCTTCTCGCGATTGGCGAAATAAGCAGTCGGGTCCAGTTCGTCTTCGTCTGCCAGGGTTAGGGCTTTTGATGTAATTGGTGCGGGGGCAGCTGCTTTTTTCGCCGCTTTTTCAGCTTTGAGCTTGGCGGCTTTTTCGGCTTTTAAACGGCGTTTGAGCTCGTTTTTACTCACGGGAGCAGCAGCAGCTGCAGCTGGTGAGTCGGAGGCGGAAAGAGCGGGGGAGCTGCTCATTGTGGCGGGCGAGAATGGGCACGATTGAGAGCGAGAGAGAGCAAGAGAGAGAGGGAGGGAGTGGTGGGGTACGACGAGGTTTGGATAATGACTGGCTTGAAGGACGATTGGGAGGGAGGGAGGGAGGGGTGTGTGGATACGGAGGAGGGACTGGAGGATGGTAGAGGAGATTTGATTGGTTTTTGACGATATTTAGCGGAGAAGCGAGTATTTTGTCGAGTATGGCGACTTATGTGGTGGATAATAGCTACTACTTGTGGTAAGTCGTAGAAAAAGTAGAAGTCGTACGTCAAAGTGGTAGTAGCTACATCTTTGGATTTGAATAGTAGTAGTAGTAGTAGCTATTATATTTGTGATTGTCTAGTAGTGTGAGCAAAAGTAGTACTGGTACTAAAACAAGTAGCAGTAGGAGTAGTAGTAGTAGTAGTAGTAGTAGCTCCGTAGTAATATTCGAAGTAGTGAAAAAGCGGCTTTTACAAATTCAAGACACTCGTACATTACGAAGTGAAAGTGTCTGCGATGAAAGTGGCAGGCGCAGGATTAGGTCCAAGCATTTTTATAGTAACAGTGATTTACGTGCGTTCACGTCTTATTCGCTGTCTTCCATTTTACTAATGCCGTAGTTTTCCGGTTGTTTGTAGTCTCCTGCACACCTTTAGTGGTCGTGCTATCTGTTTATGAAGCATGATCTTGTCAAATCGCACCTCGTGGTGACTGATATGGTCTTTCACTCGCCTTCTTATATACTTCACCACTGATTTGAAAGCGTAACAACAGCAGTGACCTAGCGTTATTTTGTGTCGTGTGACGATGCACTTTCGCCACGTTGACGCACAAGTACACGATCGAATAGAGCTACTGCTCGGTCTTTCTTTATGCATCTGAAATTCCTGGCTCACTGCTGATAGGGAGTGCAGTCACAAAGTAATCATTTATGATAGCATTCGTCATTTCACAGCAAGATGTTTTACGATAGACATCTGGATGTTGGAATGTCACGGCAATGTATTAGTTGCGACTCTGCTGATGCCACAGCTGCACGGAAATTGATGATATAGTCGAGTGAGTAACAAGGAGCTTCACAACAAAAGGGAGGGAATAGCGCCAATACCTGTAGAGTTGGTTTATTTCTCTCTTTTGGCTCTCCCATTTTTTCTGAAACTTCACGGTCTTACCATCTCGAAGCGCAGACAAGGTTAGTTTATTAATTTTGAGAGGCTAGACCACGATCTCATCTACTTGCGTCGTCCTCTTCAGTCGATCAACGGCTGCTTGTCTTCTGAATGTACATGCGAGCTTACACGGTCAGTTAGTCTAGACGCCACCAGACACCTGTATACACCCAAGTTTTGTAAGGATCCAACGAAAGGAACCGACAGCTTTCCAGATATTCTACAACGGTAACCAATTACCAATAATGGTAGTTCTGGTACCACTTTGCTCAGTCCCGCTAATGCTTTGCTACATATCATCGTGACAAGTCCTGAATGAAAGTCCCACTTGGTTATGCGTTTACTTGATGCCATGGCGCATTACAAATGGCCAGTGTTTGCTGTAATTTTGATGCTCGAAAACGCATCGAATCGCTTTGGCCATTGATCATGCCACCACTCGACATGCCAGTCGCTCATTTGTTGACTACTTGTGCTATTTTCGAGATACAACGCAGTGAACCTCAATGTGCTCAGGCCTTTTGCTGAGATAATTTACCAGAACGACATTTGTGTGCTGGGCGGCTAAGCATGGTTGGACCGATCTTTTACCTCAAAACTTCTCTATAATTACATACCCGGGTAAATCTCGCTTCTCATCACGAGCTTACACAAGTTTGCATGCCTCAATGTACCAATTGACACAACCAACTTCGCAGTACTGAGATTCATCACAACGCGTACCAGATACCAACACTGTGCAGCCACTCCATCAGATATAAGTCGTCTCTATTAGCGACAGCAGCGACGCGACTATGATCGAACCGGTCCGGAAAATAGAAGTGCAGCCACTGTAAGATCTCCAAATGACCCGAACGCGCAGCGTTCTCGGCTGCTAGCCACGTACAGCCTTCATTGCGGTTGGCAAACAGGAACGCCATCACGTCAAAATGACCTCCTCCAGCTGCCTCATCCATCGCATTAGTCGAACATCCCTCATTACGGTGCTCATGTAGCCACCGCACAAGCTTCAAGCACCCTCCAGCCGCAGCATTATCCATTGCCGCTGTCGTGCAGCCTTCAAACCGATTCAATTGAAGCCATTTGATCGTTTCCAAGTGACCCCCTCCAGCGGCACGATCCATTGCCCGCACGGTGCAGCCTTCTTTACGGTGAGTATGGAGCCACTTCACCACCTTCAAATGTCCATTGGCAGCTGCGCTGTCCATGGCGTTCGAAGTACATCCTTCTTTTCGCTTCCTGTGCAACCACTTGACCACCTCCAAGTGGCCAGCCCCAGCAGCGTTGTCCATCGCAGCCGTGCTACAACCTTCTCTTCGGTTTCTATGCAGCCAAATCAGAGTTGCCAGTTGATTGTTCGCCGCCGCTGCATCCATCGCATCTTGCGTACACCCTTCCACCCTGTGTTGATGCAGCCACTTGACAATCTTGATACGGCCGTTTGCTGCAGCGCTATCCATCGCCTTGGTCGTACAGCCTTCATGACGATGCTTGTGCAACCACTGCAGCACCTTTAAGTGACCATTCCGCGCAGCACCATTCATAGCTTCTCGAGTACAGGCTTTCCATGATTCCAAAAATCGATTCTGATGCAGCCATTTGACCATCTTCAAGTGTCCATTAGTAGCTGCCTTGTCCATTGCTACCGTTGTCCAGAGCACAAATTTTCCGTCAAACTTCTTGCCATGTAACCACTTGACTACCTGCATTTGTCCATTTTCTGCCGCTGCAGTGGTCGTCCTTGTCGTCAATAACGTCGCTTGGCGCTTCACCAGCTTCTTCACAGCTTTCAGCTGTCCACTTGCTGCGGCTTCGTTCAGCACGCTCTCTCGGAGCACAACGTGTCCCTTGACCATGTACTTGAACACATGTAAATGGCCTCGCGCAGCTGCTTCACCTGCTGCATAGCCCGACCACTGCCGTTGCACAACATGTAGCCACTTGACAAGTGAAAAATTGCCATTGGCAGCGGCAAATTCCACAGCCCGTATACCGACCGAGGCTGGAGGAGACGTGTGTGCATACAGCCACTTGACGACTGCAACGCGGTCGTTCTGAGCCGCAACTTGCAGCTCATTGGCCCCCCACACGACGTTTCGATGGCGGGCATAGAGCCACTGCAATATGTGCACGTGTCCCGCCTCTGCAGCCTTTTCCACAGCATCTGTTACGTGTCCTTGAGGGTAATAAACCTTACAGAGCCACTGCAAGACGTCGAGATCGCCACGAGCAGCAGCGTAGGCACTTCCGCGAGCAAATGCCCATTGACGGTACCACTGTAGCTCTTCGTCTGAGTCCGGTACCTGATTTGCGCATTGATTGGCTCGTAATCGCTCCAGTAGATGCAGTTTAGCTCGCGAAATGGTGCGTAAACATGCCTGAGGGATGAAAAAGCGTGCGGAATAGTCCACGTACGACGAGATACACGCTTGGACGTACGGGAGCGCTGACAATGAGGGGCAGGAGGTGCGGAGGGCGAGGGAGACGCACGTGAGTGGCCGCAGGCACTTGCTCGAGTGATGAGATGAGGCGGTTATGGTGGAGACCGTCATGATTGAGAGAGGAGGGTACGCGGAGGTACGCGACGGATTCGCAACTGATGCCTATCAAACCGACGAACGAGGTTTTTTCATTGATGATTCGTGCAACGTTTGCGTGTTTGAATCTGAAAAACAGATGGTGGGCTGTTGAGGGATCAGGTTTTGCGAATCAGGTGCAGACGAGGTGGAGTCAGATGGTGATTCAGCGGCTGAGATGATGTGAGTGACGTGGCGACTTGATTGGCGGATAAGTGGATGCGGGACATGTCAAAGCGGACGGGGTCGCCTGGACACGATGTGTCATGAAGACCTCTATAAACGCATTTGAAGCATCACGACTCGGCTCCATTCCCAAATACTGCATTCGCAGTCGCCCTTGCGTCAGTCCAAACCTCCGTCTTTATAATAGGGCAGACCCTTTTGGTGAGGATCCTCCCTCGCGAGAGCCGAAGCGGGAGAAGTCACGACTTGAAAATGCCTCCTCTCGCGCCCTGGTGGTCGTGCGTAGGCAGGCAAGGGGGAAGTATAACGGCAGGCGGCGTCCCCCGCGCCTAGTGGGTACTTCGGTGTCCACACTCCACGTCGAGGGGCCACGCAAGCGGCTGATCGGGGCCCACCTCCACATTCAGTGCTGTCATATTGGCGATAGCACGCGACAGTCTACCGGCTGTGTCAACAGCGTTCGGGGTTTCTGACCCCATTACGTACCAAAGTTTGCCCTTGCAGAAACTGGAACGTGAACGTACAGGGGTGGCAGTATTTACTGGCCCCAGTCACGGTCAGCCCCTGGGTCACTCACCGGCGATCATGGCATGGCCTAAGATATATTAGAGATCTTGCACATAGTTCACATAACCATGAAATAGACAATCTGAACCACCACCACACCTACTCGACTCTACTGCTTGCTTAGCGGTAACGCCGTGCTAAGACAGGACATGTTTACGCCCTTGAAGTTCGTCACAAAGGCGAGTAGCCAGAAAAAAGATATCTGACTGACGCCAAATTAGCAATCCACGGTCACATCCTGCGTTCGTCAATGATGGCACGGAAGATGCGTGGTGAGTCAAGCGTACTCGTTGCTTGTCTACTCACTGTGCTTTGTAATGGAAAAGAAGGAGCTTTTGGTACGTGCTCGTCACATGCGATCACCCGCTTGAGGGTCGCATACCGCTGCGCTCGTGATAGACGGATGCAAAGGGGGCCGCATCCATGTATCTCGCGCGTCTCGTCGATTTGTAAAGGATGCGGAGAGTTCTGGGTTGAAGTCTCCTTCGTGCCCTCGTGCCCTCGTGCCCTCGTTCTCTCTGTGCAACTCTCTCACATCATCCATTTTGTCGCCGGGTGGTCTTTACAAAGCAAACGAATCCAATGGCAAGTGGCACATACTGATCATTCCTTTATCCTTTCAGAACACTGCAGGCACAGCTACCGTTATCGTTGTGCTCTGCTCTTAGCTGTAAAAAATATGCCAGTTGTCCGCCGACTCGACACTTAGATTTGCGCTATTATGCTGATGCAAAACGACCACACCGATGGCAGCAAGTTTAGTCCCAGCGAACTTTTCGTACGTTGAGCTGCTTGATGGCTGAAGTGAGCGTTTGCACACAAAGCAATGCTTCATGGAAGTCCAAGAGCCGAACGGCCTTGTCATAATGTGATACACGCAGCTAACGTCAACGCACTTGAAGTGGTAATGTCTCGCGTATATTATTTACGTGACCGGAGCATTTGAGACATAATTTGTTGTATCATAACAATCACATTTGCTGACGGTGTCGTTCCGATCGCAGGGATGTTGCCGGTACTTCATTGGAACATCGCGATGCTTAGTCATGCAATGCAGTCACAACTTGGATGCTGCTCTTGCTCATTCCTTTACCCTTGAATATCCACACAGGGCTAAAAGGGCCTACCTTCTGCAAGTTGTAGACGATAAATGGTCTGCAGTAGGTAATGGACCGGACATAGCGAACCACTTAGATGTCTTTAGTGTCGTGTTAGTGTGCTGATTCTCTTGCTGTGCTAAAGTGCTCCCTATTGTCGACAAGCGTATCATGTCACCACCATTGCGACTTGCCGGATATGCGGATTATACGTTCTGCTCGTGCTCCTGCCCGCATCACGCTCAATTTTGGCTATCGTCTTGTAGCCGAAGGTGAGCGTCAATGCAGCAACGTTTCACTGCATCATCGCAGCGTAAGCGAACATCATATATCATAGCCGCCGTCAGTAATCGCTCTTAACATACGCGCTCGACGTATCCTTAGTCTGTCTTGCTTGGTGTTACTAGCTTGCGTTGCAGCTCCTCGGATCCATTAGTTTTTTTCTAACGCTACCACAATGCAAAAGCAATACAATTACCGTCGATAAAATTGGTCCGAATGCTGACTGAAAACCGTGTGCAGCCCTCTATTTCATTTAATGTGTTGCCCAAAAGTCAAGTGTGCGATTCATGACGAATGTGCCCTGTGCCTTCGGAGCCCTTCGGCAAGTATTTTGCGTAAGGTATAGTTGGCGAAGCAACTTCTTGCTGCATGGCTTGCAACGTATGTATTTCATTTCACGCCGACACTCACACTGAAGCGATCAGACATTGAGTGCCAACATTGTCACATGTGTCGACAAAGCGATGCCCTATTGTACGCTTGTTTTGTCCACCTTCGAGGCGTCAGCCAGTCATTAAAAGGTGTCTCTACACATGGTCGAGCTCGCTTGAGATTGATCCGCGGTGAAGCGAAAGTCGAAGAATCTTCTTTGTGTGAAAAAGTAGGTTTCAGCTCTTTCACATTGGATCATGGCGCGAATCAGCAATATGAACTTAAAACGGCATCTCACATGACCATGACGATACACGCAACGATTTACGTTGCTGAATGTACCACGTCGTTGTTCAATGTAGCCGGTCCTTACTCAGTCTGTCACTTTTCTACAGTCACATCTTGGATAACTTATATCTTCGTGACTTATAATTCATACATATCATACAATCCGCATATCACCATACTTGTTCTATTGTGGCTAATTTACAACTCGTAACTCAAAACTGTCGATAAAATGTGAGTTTCCGAAGGACGGAAATGCTCCTGAGCTATTGAAATCATATTCCTTTGATCAAATGCACAAGTGAGGGCGCCGCAAACGAACTCGGCCTCCATTGCGGAGATGCTCACGCCGCTCAGCTGCTTGAGGTCCACGAAACCTGCATAACATTGAGAAGTACGACGCCTCCCGTCAGCGACTTTCGAATCCCCTTGTCGGACGCAAATTAGGCATATCTTTGATCTTTGAGCTGCAGTGCGTCGCGACTCGTTCGCGCCAGCGTAATCTCAAGCTTGAGCGCCGCGGTGTCCTTGAGATACCGCGCAATGCACTTGGCTAGCTCCCAGTGGATAACCTGCATCGCATAATCTTCCTGGTCGCCTTGTGCACCACAACGACAATGAATAGCCTCTAGCACCGCGCGAATAACATCAGGCTCCCGAAGGGCAACTTGATCGCGGTGTCGTCGCACCACCGCCCGCGCTTGTTGTCTCTAGCAGTGCGACATCGTCATCTATCACCTCGAAGTAGTCGTCTTCCATTGGCGTCTTGATCTAATTTGCGTCACTCATCACCTGTGCGTGCAGGAGCTCCTTAATCGCCTCCTCCTGATCGATGCGAAATGCGCCGTTGCTCCTAATCTTCACCCGCATCCCTAGGATCTTATGGACGTGACTGATGTCTTTCATTGACAGTGACGCCAGGATCGTGAAGAAGCTCTGGACAACCGCGACACTTGTTCCCGTCTCCAGCATGTCTTCTAGGTGGACGCCGATAACAAACTTCGTCGCCATAGCGCTTGTGATACAGGTAAATGTATGTCACGCATCGAGTAAGTATGGCGTCACTGAGTCGAGAATGAAGCAGCTGGCTACATAGGCGCCCTGCCTGCTTGATATCACCCCCGCTCCATCGCAGATCGAGGACAACCTCGCCTTCATGCGCCACACCAATCTCTAGAAGCGTGCTGTCCGACACCGTTATGCCGCGCGGACCCTGCAGTCGGATGTCGAGGTGCGCTTTTGTTCAGCACACAAGTACGTGTTTGGGATGTCCCAATGATTTGTCGGCACGACCCACGTCGCTGCGAGCATTAACACGACCTTCGTCGTCGAGAGTTCCATCACGGCGAAGAACGTCAGGTTGGAGTCGATGCCAAGCACCTACCTATCGCTGTATCCGACAAGCCTTTCCTTGCACTACCTAAGCTCTTCGTCGGCTCCTGTATTGCTCATGAAAACCCTTTAGAGTGAAGAGCTTTCGTGCTTGGGCTGCGCTCTGTCATGCGCCGCACACCATTATCCTCGAGCGCATCAATATCCTCCTTCATCTCCGTCTTCCAACCATTGCAATTTGCGCTGCGCAAAGCCCTGACAGAGTTACGTAGATCGCGCAAAAAGCAGTGCAGACCACATCGTCGCTCGCAGCTCGCTCCTCGTGGTGCGCATCCCATGCGCTTGTCGCGTCCACGGCTGCTTGCTCTTCTCTCGAGCTGTGCAATCCTCTTACGCTTTATTAAAATACTGTCACTTGTCGCCACTACTGCTTCCGCTGCTGGCGATGGCTCTTCGGCACCATCGGCTCTATCGCCCTCATTCATCCTGCGCTAAAGCTGCACAATCTGCCAGTCCGACAGCGCCCCGATGTTTGCACGTGCTGAGTGACGATGACCTTGTTCTCCTTATGCAGCAGCCCTTGTACCCCTTCGCTTCATCGCTGACGCCGACAATGACGCCGCACTGCGAGCGCCGTTTCAGAGAATTCTTACACGCTGCAGGAAGAACCAAAGACAACAATACTGCGCATATACGGCGCCTTGCTCGTCAGCACATTGAGAGGCGACGCACTCTTTGCACTCTCTTGCGTCGGGACGCGGATAAGGATGTGAACGACTTTTACTGCATCGCGTAGAATCAGAACTACAACGGCAGAGCACACGCAAATGTCATGCTGTGCGAAAGGTTCAACACCATCCGGTGTATCCTCTCCGCCTTGCCATTTGATGCTTGGTTGCGCGGTTCAGACACTTGACGCGCGACGTCTATTCACATCCAAAAGATAGCGATAGAGGCATGCTCTCAGCCGCCGTCGGTGCGCAAGACATTGATCCTGATCCTGAAGATCGCTTAAAGTGAAAGAGGAACGCCTCAAACTGCTTTTCTGCCGCATCCTGGATGCGCGCGAGGAACATGCGTAAGTCAAGGACTTATGGATTGTTAAAATTGACAAGGTATCGAATGCCTAGCCGATCCAGCGGCATCATCAGGCCCTTGAGGTCCAAGCAGACAACACCGCCGGCCCTGTCGATTGGTGATCTGGCGCCGCTGTCGCGCTGCGTCTGCACGTTGCGCATCGTCCACGTCTCCGTCCTTCTTATGCGCTCGATGAGAGGCCACATCGCATCTCTTTCGCTGTGCATGACGCATGTCGATGACGTCCCGATAAACAGCACATTGCTAAAAATGGCAACGTCTAATGCGATTGCGCCATCCTCGTGTCGATCCAACGAGCGCTTTTGCCTTCTTAGACAAAAACAACACCCCTGCTCTCGAGCTTGTCATACGACACGATTTTCTTTAATAGTAGCGGTGCGAGGCAGATCTTCGTCAGCGTCAAAGTCGTCTCTGCTCCACGGAACGAGGACCTTGATCCGAAAGCTACCGACGCGCGTCAAATACAACGACTCCATATCCGCCATTGCGATTCTGTGGGCGCATGCGGTCGACTCTAGAAGTAGTAAATCGTCGTTTACGAGATGCCGACTCGCGCCGCTGTCCAGAAATCAGTCGCCTCTCCCAATACCTTGCGCGTCTTTTGCTGTAAGCATGAAATCAACGTCTCTGATCAAAGCTTATACTTGCCGCTTGTGTCACTCGCAGCTGTCTCTATACGTGAGACCTTCATTTTCTTCGTCTTTCATGCCTCAGGAGCGCGCCAGTACCTTTTTAGTGAGCGCGAGAACTATGTGGCTCCGGCCGTTGGCGGCGCTCGCCTCGTCGTCGAACTCAATTCGCGCTTTACACTCGGATACGACGTTTGCGGTCCTTCCACAGTGGTAGCATTCCCTGGATCGTGCCGCTTTGACTCGACGCGATAAACTGCTACCCGCCACGCCTCTGCCGAGGTCGATCGACTGTGCAAAGTGCGTCAGATCCTCCGCATGATGCAGTTAGTCGGTCCTCGTCGGATCGTGCTTCTCGTGCATGACGCTCATGAGCTCTGGTGACGCGTGGTACACGATGTGGTTGATAACGAGCGAGTAGGTGCCGCTGCGCACGTATCTGACGGCGACCATGTAGAGCAAGTGTTTTGCCTAGGTGTGTTGCTTTTCTATCTTTTTCCTAACAGCTTCATGGCCTGACTCACCCTGATAGTCGTCTTGAACGTCAGATGCAGATGCTCCAAGTTGTACTCGAGACGGGGCATCTGTACCCACCAGGTGTAAACTTGATTGTGGAAATAATAATCAGCAGTGCTCGCCAGAAAGTGGCCGAGGAGGTCCACTTTGACGACCTCGGTCGACGCGAAGCCGCACAATGCCTCTCAAAGGCTCACGGTGCGCATGAAGGTGCGTCTCCAGTCTAAAAAGCTGCTGCCAAGACTATAATAAGGCTCGGTCGCGTCAAGCTTCCTGATGTTTAGCTTGCACTGGCTCGCGGTTGGCATCCCATATCCTTTGAGCCCCGGACGCTCTTACGCTTGCACTGGAGCGGCCTGCTGAGATGAGAGCGCTGCGTGCATCAGCTGTTAGAAGTCAATACACAAAGGTAGAGACAGAGGACACACAATTAAATGCAAAAGAGAGAGTGTTATTAGTTTCGTTATCTCCTGGCTAGCTATCAAATCCTTTCTGCAGAAGAAATCATAAAATGAAACTCCCACAGTTGCTCGGCGCAAAGATGATATCAAAAATGATACTGGTACCACTTTCTTGGTACATCAACTTGAAGCTTGCCTTTCAACACTCCTCCTCGTCGACACTGTCCTGACAAAACACTTGATCCTTGCTCTGTCATCGTCGACTCCGATCGATTATTTTAAACCGATCACTCGACGCATCTCGACCAATCTCGGTGCAGCCAATGCCTTCGTTAGTATGTCCCAGGCATACTCGAAGTTTCTCGATATTCAGGCTTTATGATTCCTCGCTTCGCTAAATCACCGACAAACTTGATGCGCACATCAATGTGTTTGGCCTTAGCCGAAGCTCTCTCACCGTCAAGTTGTTTCAAAGCCGCTTGGTTATCCACTCGCAGTGGTATAGGCTCTTTAAATCTCAAATCTAACTCTTGCAAAAGTTCGCGAATGCCCAAAAGTTCTCGAGCCATAATGGATGCAGCTGTAAACTCAGCCTCCATGGTCGAAAGTGATACACCGCCTTGCTTCTTGCACATCCAGATCACTGGCATGCCATCAATCGTAATTAAACCACCCGTGACAGATTTTCTGTCACCTTTGTCGGCAGCGAAATCCGCATCACTGTACCCAACCACTTGTAACAGCTCTGGTTCATCTTCTCTTTCAATCATAGAAAGTCGCAATGTCTTCGTGCCAGATAGGTACCTTGCAATTTTCTTGGCCAACTTATAATCTCCCATCGTGGGCGTATGAGTCCTTCTTGACGCTTTATGCACCGCGAAAGCGATATCTGGTCTGGTGCAACGCGAAATCCATAGTAAACTTCCCACAAGTGACTGGAAAACTTTCACCGTAACCACACCATCTCCTCCAAATACCGGTAACGGCACAGCTACCGAGTCTTCATTATCGTTCCAGTCTTGAGTAATTGGAACACGCACGCTATGTCCCATTTCGAGACCATGCTCCTTCAGCATGTCCATAATTCCAACTTCTTGATCAAAAGTGTACCCATTTTCGTCATTGTATTGAATACGCATACCCAAAAACTTGCGAGCACATCCAAGATCCTTGACCGATAGTGAATTGAGCTCATCAAAAAAAGAATTCACAGAACCCTGATCACTTCCTGTTACCAGAAGGTCATCCACGTAAACTCCAACAATCAATAGATGACCATGTGTCCATCTAAAGTAGACACACATGTCCGTGAGACTTTGTTTGAAACCAATATCAACCAATTTCTGGTGTAGCAATTTACTCCATAGTCTTCCTGCTTGTTTTAATCCATATAAAGCCTTCTTCAGCTCCAAAACAATCCCGTTGTTCTGTGAAACACCGATCTTCTTCTTTAAGTCCTCTGCAATCTGCATTCCCTGTGGTACGTGGATGTAGATATCGAGATTATCTTCCTTGTCTGCTTTAACGTAAGCATTTGGAACATCTCCATGCTTCGCAGGCACCTTCCACTTTCTTGCCAGTGCGAAAATCATCTTCACGCTGGACATATCAATCACAGCAGCAAACGTAACTCCATAGTTCACTCCAAAGACTTGTTCATTTCCACACGCGACCAATCTCGCCTTCAATCTCTCGATGCCACCTTCTGCGTCACGCTTCGTCTTAAAAACCCACTTCGAGTGAAGTGCTCGAATATCTTTTGGAGCCTTCACAATACTCCAAACTCCATTGTTCTCCAAGGCTTGCAATTCTTCAGAAATTGCCTTCATCCATCCTTCCTTGTGACTGCTACGCATAGCTTCACCAAAGTTTCTCGGGTCAGATGTTGTGACAACATTGACAACGTCAGTATCCATGGCTGAACTCTCAGTTCTTTGTCCCTGGCTTGAGCGTTTATTCTTGCTCGCCGATCTTGTCACAACCTTCTTCTTTCTTGTCCACGGAGTCCTTTTCTCCATATTCTGTGTCTGGTCCTTACGACTCGTCGCCTCCTCCAGATCTTGATATCTGGTATTACCTCCCTCCTGAACTTGATCTCGCGCGGAGTCATTATCTTCCAGACTAGTAGGATTCTGCAGATACAATTCTTGAACTTGCTTGTTCTGGGTCTTGTTCAGTGTCTCAATATTTTGAACATGCTGCGAGACAACAACCACTTTATCCTTCGGCAGGTATACACGATACCCTTTGGTTTCTTCACCAATGCCAATGATAATCCCTTTTTGTCCTCTAGGAGCAAAATTCTTCTTCTTAGGATCTCTGTACACTGTACATGGTGATCCAAAAACGACAATTTCACCTAGCGACGGGGTCTGGTCCGTCAGCACCTTCATCGGTGACATTCGCTCAGCATTCGAATTTGTAGGGGCCCGGTTCAAAATATAAGCAGCATATTCAACCGCGTCACCCCAGAAATTGAGTGGCAATCCTGACGCAAATATCATGCAACGGGCCATATTCATGATGGTCCTATGCATGCGCTCAGCCTTTCCGCTTGACGCTTGGTTTCTTGCTTCACTTCGCTGTCTTGCAACGCCCGACTTCTTGCAGAATAAATCTACATTCTGGTACTCTCCTCCTGAGTCCGTGCGAAGAACGTGCACACGACAATTAAATTTTTTCTCGAAAAAAATCAGAAAATCTTTAAATTTCTTTGCTGCAGCGTCTTTAGTGCGAGCAAGAAATACACGACAATAATTGCTCTTATGATCAACGAAGTTGATCATATAGCGATTATTTAGCCGATCCTTTGGAGTCATCGGGCCCTTGATGTCCGAACAAATAACACCTCCAACCCTGTCAATAGGTGAGTGTTGCCCAGAGTCGTGCCTTTGCTGTTTGTTCTTGGTCTGTTTGCCTTGTGAGCAAGTGTAACAAAATTCGCGACGCTTGTCCGTAAGCAAAAAATCACAATAAGGATCTTTAGCCAATTTTATTATCGTTTCGTAGTTTAAATGGCCAAAACGCTTGTGAAAGTCCATTAAACTGCCTTTTTGGACAGCGGAAGACACTTGGACACTTGCTTCTTCACCCAAGACCGCCATAATTACTCCAACCGGTTCAACATCGTTATCCATCACTCGACACGGCACCACAAGAACGTTACCAACCAATTGAACATCAAAAGCCACAGCTCCAGTAACTGTATTGGATATAACACGTTGAGTTCCATTGTATCCAAGTGTGTAACCCTTTCGGTCCAAGATTCCATACGAAATTAAATTATGCTTCACACCCTCAGCAAAGTATACATCTGTAAGAGTCAGCACACGCTCAACTCCACAAGCCAAGACGTTAATTGTCACAGTGCCTCTTTTGCTTATAAGAAGCGGCTGTCCATCGGGTTGATGACAAACCCCTTCACACGACTCAACGTTGTGAAGCCACGACTCATCACTGACCAAGTGTCTACTGGATCCGCTATCCAAGATCCAGACATCGTCTTGTTGACTTGAGACTTCATTCACAGCAAGCGACAAATTTGTTCGAGGTCCTTGTGGTCGCTTGCGTTTCGGACACGCTCCCTGCAAATGTCCAACTTCGTGACAAAAGTGACATCTACGCGTTTCCTTGCGTTGTCGATCGGAAACAGAATTAACGACTTCTCTTGTGCTCACTTTTTCTCGCCCGAGAGTTCTTTCTCTCCCAGTGTGTAACTCATACGCTTGCGCAAAGTGAGCGAGCTGTTCTGCTTGTACCAGGTAGTCCGTTCTCGTGTGATCAACTTTTGCCAGTAAAATTGTTCGCATAGCCTCAGAGGCGTATTGCACAATATTGTCCAGAACCAAATAATCACCACCGTTTCCACAAACTTCGGAAATTGCCGCCAAATACATGTAATGTTCTGGCCAACTTCGGTTCGGGTTCTTACGTTGCGTAAAAAGTTTCATCGCTTGGGCCGGTGTTATACTTGTCTTGAATGCTTCAAGCATTTTCCCCATTACGTACTGCAAAGTGGGTAATTGACTCCACCACATCGCAACTTGTCTGTTATAGTATCTCTCTGCAGTCCCAGAGAGATACAAACCAAGCAAATCCACTTTCACATCTTCAGGCCATTCAAATCCACAAGATGACTGCGCCAAAGAAATTTGTCGCTCGAATCTCCGACCCCACTCCAAGAATCCAGAACCAAGTCCTTCATACAGTTCGCTTCCATCAAACGGCCGAATGCCGAGCTTCTTTTGCCTTGCATCAGGATATCGCACTTGAAGTATATTTCCTTGTGCATGACCGTATCCATTTAAGTCGGGATGTTGCATGTACCCATGTCCTCCAGCTTGGGGCAACATATCAGGAATTCCAAGTCCTGGTGCAACTTGACCGCGAACGTCCTGGCTGGGTCCATTATATTCGGGCTGTCCAGCGCCAAACGACATCTGCCCTTCAACCGGTCTCCTCGGAGTAAATACCGGCGCATCATTGGACCCTTCCAAGTTGTCCATGTGCATTCTTGTTCCACTTCCCAAAGCCGAAACAAACAAACTTGAATGTCTAGGCGGAGTCATAGGCGCGTCCCTATGTCTTCCACGCCCTTCCTCAGCTTTTATCAACCTTGTCTGTGACTCCTCAAGCCTATCCAGACGTCCGGTTATTCCTCTCATCAGCACCAGGAGCTCTGACGCGTCGTCACTCCTGGTGACAGCATTGTCCACCGCATGGACAACACCTTGCTTGCTCTTCTCTTCATAATCTTCATGCTCACTGACCCTTTCGTGACCAGTGGCAGGGGCTGCTTCCGCATACGCGCCGTCGCGCGTGTCACCCCTGAGTGCCCCGTGCTTTGGGCTCATAACCTGTTAGAAGTCAATACACAAAGGTAGAGACAGAGGACACACAATTAAATGCAAAAGAGAGAGTTTTATTAGTTTCGTTATCTCCTGGCTAGCTATCAAATCCTTTCTGCAGAAGAAATCATAAAATGAAACTCCCACAGTTGCTCGGCGCAAAGATGATATCAAAAATGATACTGGTACCACTTTCTTGGTACATCAACTTGAAGCTTGCCTTTCAACATCAGCGTGTGTTGCTGAGTTGGCAAGCGCGCACCGTGAGGCTCGAGAAACGTAAAGCGGGACACGCCGAGGCAAATCGCACTCTAGTGCGTGCGCGGTGCCTTGAGCTTCTCTTCCTGCGGCCCAAGCGCGTCGGTCGTCATCGGTCGTCCGCGCATATTTGTGCCAAGCTTCGAAGCGAACATGCCGCTCTCGATAGCTCCCATCATTGCTTAACTCCGGCGCGCACTCGCTGCGACGACTCAAGCACCGCCAGGCGTTCCATCAATCCAGAAAGTGATGCGAGGATCCTGTCGTCACGCGTCTAAATCTCGCGGGCGTACGAGTCTTCGACGGATGCTGGTGTGTTCACCGACGAATGTACACGCGCTGGAGAGCCACGCCTTGAGGCAGCTGGGCGCGACACCACCTGATTTGTTGTTGGTCGCTTCAGTAGCTCTTATTATTGCGCTCATCATCTGTTGGCTCGCAAACGTGCAGCGTAGTAGGTGTTATGTAACGGGCAAAAAGTTCCTGTATTCGATCTACTACCTGCCACTCTATTTTTCCCATGCATGCACACTGCGCCGTCTAGAGGTCTCTGCACCACTCATAGTACAAATGGATCGATGACCACCCTGTCGACTCGAAACGCCTGGCGCAAAGCGAAAGTACAAGTCAGAATGCCCGACCTACCAAACACCACACCACGTGATTCCATACGAACTTATTGTCTGAGATAACTATAATTGGGTTAACAAAACCCAGGGTGCTCTAAGTGTTGGCAGCTGCATGGGTGGACATCTAAAATACCACCATAATTGGCCTTGGAGACAATTGAGATCAGTGCTCGAGTGAAAAAGGAAAGTAAACCGTTATCGAGCTAAAAAATCCAACCTTTAGCGCTTCTACTTGGAATTAAATCAACTCTGACCTTCTATTATTTAAGATATTCAATTTGTTTTCACGCAACTTAACTTTATTGAATTATGTTATGGATACAATCTTTCAATGTTGCTCAGTATTTTACAACATCAGTTTAAATTATGATTTCTTGATCTTCAAACATTAGTGCGGGACCTCAAACATTAGTTGCGTCGATGCTAAAAAAATTTGCGCCTAAAGAGCGATATCAGCCCGAACTATAGCAATGATGCATCTACGATTACTTTAATTGCTGAACCACTCTCGCCAAATATTCAGATGATGTGCAGCTTGTTTCGCTGCTACTGGTTCTGCGTCTATCCACTGAAGAACTCAACGGTGTCCTCGGTAAAGCTAAGGCGTTCAGATAACATCAGAGTATAGATCTCGGTGATTTTTGTAATTAGTTAAATGTTCCTTGTTATCATCGAAGAACCCATGCTGACAGGTCTTTATCCGTTTTTATAAGCGCATGTCAGGCGTTCGGCGGAAAGTTAATTAAATCTGTAACGGGGTCACACGTCCGTTATCGTCCTAAATATATGTACCTTGTACATGTGAAAGACTATCCTAGTTTTATTCGTTATAATTGGTTTTCGTTGATAACCTCAGTCATCCATTGATGACAGATTGACGTACCATTTATCAATCTGTAGTGGACGGAAAGCGCGAATCAGTTAATTTTAGTATCAAGTAGTTGAATGAGGGTGATTACAGATGAAACTAAGATATAAGAGTCAGGTCCCCTTTTGATCGTTTGTTTCCACGTGTCTACTTTTGACGTCGGCAGATCACAGAAAGTCAGAGCCATCTTGTGGCGTAGACTCTAGAGCACCTTGTGCGAGCGATTCTATAGAATCATTATTAGTCCCTCCGACCAGAGCTAGGAGTGCTACGGGCGTAAAGACTTAAACAGTATTTGTGGACTGATCATAAGAACTAGAGACTCTTTGGATGTATCTCGTGCGATCAACTCTCGAGCTTTTATACATTGTTGACAGCGCTCATGGCTTATTTATAAGAAATTTAGATGGGAAAACCGCGATACTTACTGCTTTTATCTTTTCACGAAACACGAAATGTGGAATTTCGGAATTCACGTAGCTCATAACTCGGCTAATTCATAGATTTTGTTTCCACCACTCCTATGAGTTATCCGAGGAATGACTGGACTAGCGACCAAAATTTACAAATAGCAGTACATGCGGTCAATTCATAAACATAGACGGTGTTGCTGATCCTACAAAGTCCTGAGCATTACTGCTGCGTGAGTCACGCACAATAGCCGGATCAATCGACGCGGCGTGTAAAGTAGACCTCAGTATTTCTAGACGTCATGGTCCGCGCTGTACCCCTCTGGATCGATCGTCTGACCTTTTCTAATACAAAGATGGTGCGCAGAAGTCGACTGAACGCTAGAATGCATTTTGCGATCAAAGCAACGTATGAGCCAGCCACAAACGGATCCGATCCGTCCTGTGCAAAAGGTATCCGAGCTGTTAGCAGACGGGGCAACTCGAGGAATGTCTCGCTCTTCTTGACTGTACGTTTACTGCCTGGAAATAGTGTGCTCAAATTGTCTGGGCTTTCATGGCAGAGGATATACGGTTGGCTTCTGACTTCCATCAGGCAATCACAGTCGAGAATCCAAGCTACTTCAAGTTCTGACGATCTCGTTGTAGACTGAAGAACTCATCGGACAGTATCCCTACAGCTCTTCCCTAGTAGATCTCGCAGTCGCGTTCGAGAAGATAAAAGCCCACGTATGTTCGTACCTGACTGCGACGACAGTTTGCGCTGAGGTATCATACTGACTTCGTCGAGGGGTGGCCTTCCTTCAATTATGCCTAAACGATCCGGTTGATGAGAAGCAGAGCTAAAAGATGGGGTCCGTTCAACCACGTACGATCACGGAGAGGCAGCACCGCTCACAGTGGTACGTGCAAAGAAATGTTTACAAGAGATTGGACCGACCATTTGCCGTGTAAGTGCTACCGGCAAAGGGACAGCAGTCGTGCTCATTTGTGCACGCTACGTTTCTCCATCGTTTGCCAGTTTGCAATTTCCATCCAGCACAGTCCTCCACCTCGTGGGCTGTCAACAACCAACGACAATGGAGGCCCTCCTGGTAACCTTTCAAGTGCTGACAATCATCACGTCCGTCTGTATGCGGTTTGCGCCCTACCCGGACTTCTATCGCATATACAAGGCGAAAAGCACAGGCGAAGTGCAGATCCTGCCAGTCGTGCTATTCTTTACCAACTGCGTCGTGCTTGTGTGGTATGGCTACTTGTCAGAGAACATACTACCGCTCGTCGTGACTGCCGTTGTTGGAATTCTTACCTGCGGCGGATTCATCGCAGTCTTCTACTGCTACACCGACGACAAACGATCCGTTTACAAGACCTGTGCTGTAGCCATGGTCTTTATCGTACTTTTGTGTCTATACGGCGCCATGGGCGTTGAAGGCGTCACAGGACAGTCCAAGTCCTCGATGGCTACAGCCATGGGTGCAATCTCCATTGGCACATCCATCGGTTTGTACGGGTCCCCGCTTGCCACGATCCGTAGGATACTACGCACGAAATCAACGGCGTCGATGCCTTTCACGTTCTGCGTCGTTAGCTTCTGCAACAGCGTGAGCTGGGTGACGTACGCCATCATCCTAGGTGATGTGTGGATCTTGCTCCCGAATGCTTTCGGCTGCATCCTCACTCTGATTCAGCTGATTTTGTATGTCATCTACCCGCCATCGTGGGCGACGGCAGGACGTTCAAACCAGGCTCTATCGATCGACCATCGCCATTCTACACTCGAGGAGGGTGGTAAGCTCTCGCTGTCGGTTTCCAATATCAAATGTGCTCGAGAAGGAGTCGGTCGTGATAGGAAGAGCATCGAGGAAAAAAGCGTTGACTTCGTCGAGCTTCGGTCGCCTAGAATGCAGTAACCGTCGTGACTAACACACAATAAAGTGCGCTTTGTCTGCTATCATGGAGCAGGTAGATTTCTGGCGATATTCATTGTGACGGGATCCCTATTCTTCACCATGCATTCCATCGTTAAGAAAGCCAGAAGCCAGAAAGCGAAACTGGGCTGGGCTGGGTTGTCGTCGCTCTGTAGACCCTATAATTGTAGCACTAGTAACGGTTCATGGCATGGTCGATGCAAAAAGGGAGCTCAGAAATTGGTCGTCGTGGTCGTGTTGATGGGAATACATCACCTCGAAGGCTCGGCTGCAAAACGGTATCAAGTTCCCTTGAACGCGACAGTCGTCATGGTGATTGCCTCTGCATCTTCTTCTGAAAAGCCGTGCGCACACGTACACACAACAACCGGATCTCATGTGGCCCTGCTCAAGAAAATCAAGCTGGACAGCTCAACCGAACGACCGCTTAGCTTGCATTTGCTGTCTCCCATCAACTTTTTCCGGCACGTGCGTCTCGAGGCGAGCCGCTCATTAGACACCCATTGCACATGTTCATAGGCATTACAAGCGTCTTGCTTTGTTATCAGGGTTAGTGGTGGCCGCATGTCTCCGACTTGTGCTTCAGAAACGTTGCAAGGCACTTGGCATCGTCGTACAAGGAGTAGCTAAGTGCAAAAAGGATCATTACCCCGGCTAAGCTACGCTTCAGTTAGACTTCAGTTGGTAGCAGGAGAAGCGAAACGAGCAGTCGATTGCATGGACTTTCTAAGTGTCACTGAGGTCAGCGCGCTGCGCTGATGGCTGCGTCTCGCTCCTCTATGCAAGCGGCATGAACGATGTGACCTCGTGGTTTGCAACTGATAGTGCGAGGAAACGTAGTAGGAAAATCCAGTCACCACTGTACCTGCTAGTAGTAGACGGATTGGATACCGCAGTTTGTATCAGAACGGAACGGAGGCCGTATTCTCCGTGTATCGTTGACGATCGACGGGGTCTCGAGAACTACTTGGAAACCCGGTTCGGTCTCGAATGCAATGGGTACGACGATAGGCTTTCTCGCCACTTGCATTGCGCACAAACGGCTGACGTCAGTGCCACAAACCCTTCGATGTGTCGCTCTCGATAAGCGTTATCGATGCCTCCCACAAGGGGCGGCATCACGTCCTTCAATCTCGACAGGGTATTTTATGCCGCACTTGTCTCTTGAAATCTCGTGGTTTCATGCACGATGATCCGGCTGAGACTTTCCTCCATTTATCGACGAGCCATACCAAAGACGGACGCATGATGAACCAACGCTCTTTGCATGACGCTATCGCTTTTTCGAGACGGCGATGTCACACGGAGCTTTTTTTTCTTCAGCTCAGTGGGTAGTCCATAGACGAACAAGTTTCGCTGCAATGCTATAGAAGAGGTAAGATCATGAAATACACTGGTAGGCAGCTGGACGTCGTTCCTACATGCGGGTTGTAAGTTGTCCTCCACAAGTCGATTCCATCAAAGTTTATCAAGTCAAGCACGAGAGTATTCCCTGCCATGTAGAGTAGAAGGATGTTCTTGACATCGTCAGTGACATGCCCTCGACCGTTTAAAGTACTTTGGGATGTAATTGTCTGACTAGAAACGCCATCAAAACAAATGGAGGACGAAACGGTCAGCACCAACCATCGCGTTGTCCGCCACCTTTCCTTCTGCAACTGAGCCGCTAGAAGCAACAATGCTGAAGCGTGAACGTTTCAAGTATCGCTGATCGTGTATCGCGTGGTTCTTTTGTCTTTAGCTAGAAACGGATGATGAAGACCTACCTGCACACGATCCAGCCATATTCGAATTTGCTTTCGAGACCACAAACACCACCTTTGTTATTTAGCAGCAAACGCATCTACCAGATGAGTACCCACGAGATCGCTGTCAACGTGTTTGAAGTGCTCACACTTTCCACCACTCTATTGCTACGCATTTCGTTGATACCGGACTTTCGACGAATGCACAAGAACCATAGCACAGGCGAGATGTCAGTCATGCCGTGTCTCTTGCTTTTTACGAATTGTTATGTCGGCATGTTCTACGCCATAGCTGTGAACAACATGATGCCACTATTTGCGCAAGCGATTGTGGGAGTTGTCACGGGTATTTTCTTCAACTACTTCTTCTACCGCTGGGCTGAGGACAAGCGCGCTGTCGTAAAAGCTTTCATCGGATCCTTTACTGTGTGCTTCATTGTAACACTCTATAGTGTACTCGCATTAGCCGGATACACGAACCAATCTCAAGATTCGGTCAGTACAACGTTGGGTTTCATGACAATTGGAACGAGCGTTGGGATGTACGTGTCACCAATGGCCACCATCGCAACAGTTCTTCGAACAAAGACTGCGTCGTCAATGCCATTTACAATGGGTGTTGTCAATGTCTTTAACAGCTTTAATTGGGCAACATACGCTGCTTTGGTCGACAACAAGTTCATTTTGGGCCCAAACATTGTAGGGTTTATACTAGGTTGCATTCAATTGATTCTCACGTTTGTCTACAGACGCGCGACTTCTGAGATGATTGAAGACGTCAAACTTGACGGAAGGGTGTCAGTCATCATTCTTTCTTCAGACCGTGGCGGTGAAAGAATTGTGCTTTCCTCTCGTGGAAAGAGTCCAAGCTTCGCTGCCGTCAAAACTCCATTAAACGAGGGCAAGATTACAACCAATGCTTGAGAACCTCCGACGCATTACGGGTACAATTCCCACCAATTTTGGGTCATATTGTATCCATGCCATTTTACAATAGATTCAGCATTACGTATACCTTCAATAAACATCTCTCCTTTACCCCACTCTTTGAAACAACCGTCCCCGTACGAAGTAGTATAAACACATGTGTCGATGTTCTCGTTTCGACCTAACGATGCAGCGACCTTCTGTTTGAGCATGTGCACTGCAGGTGCAGGGCGCCCCGTTGTAACCGTCGATATTTTCTTTACAATACACACTACTCCCGACCAGAACTTCAGAACGACAGACAAGACCCGGATGTGGCAAATAGTCTGCAGGATCAAGCGCGGAAACCCTGTGTGCACATGAAAGTTATGCAATACATGTGACTTTGCGGAGCCGCACTAGACGCGGTATGACGACTAGATTGTCAACTCAACGTAATTGAACTGCTCACTACTCGCCGTTATGGAAGAGCTCACTGTTCATCGCGACGGTCATGATGTTTTTCATGCTACCGCGGGATACAAAGTAACGAAGTGCATGATGATGGCCGTGACGCCGCGATTTAAGCGATGATTCAGTCGCTAGCAATAGCGTTCGACGTTTTTTTTATGAATATTGTGCATCTCACCACAGCGAAACTGTAACGGGGTAGCCCGTTACATGATATTGACACCAAACGGTGTCAATACGAAGATTGTACAGCGTGACGACATTCTTCTGCAAATATCGCCTAAAATAGGTAATATTGAAGGAATATTATCTCCTTGTATGATATATTCATGCGCTGCTCCAAGATTGGTTGATATAAGACATATCAACCGAGGTTACCACTAATCACTGCTAGACGCGCGTAATGAGTGGTGAGTAGGTTTTCGTCACACGACGACGTAGTTTAATATAGTTAAATGAAGAGTGAAGTTACATTGATAGCTTAACTATATCAAATACAGTTCTCTTTTTACCTATACTCAAACAAGTCGTTTAAGTAGAGTAGCTTCCTCTGCACGTACTAGTGTACGTGAAGTTTCGTGGCACCCCCAAACAAAGGGTGCCCCGTTACCCCTGGTAGCACTTCGTAGTCCGTCCAACGACTACTTAGTGTCCGTCCAACATAAACATGTTGGGCGTTGAAGACTACAGCATTCACGTCACACGTGAAGACTACTCCCATTGAGTGACTTAGAATGGGAGGTATTCGGCCGCATGAGTGTGCTCATGGGCGAATCCTTCATCATTGGCATGTTGAAGGTTTGAAACAGAGACAAACAACATGCCGCTATCAACAAGTTTAAAAAGAAGAACTTGCTGTAGAAAGACAGAAGACAGCCTTGCTTCACCAGCAATGCTCTCACTAGCAAGGCTCTCATCAGTCTATGGGCGGGCCGAGGCACATGCGCCTTTTCGAAACCTTGAAGATTAATGTCTTAAGGTTCAAGTTAACCGATGAAGATTTCTTTTGAGATAGTTCGTCGAGTTAGAAGATGCAATTAGGGCCCGTCACATCGAATGTGACGAGATGCAAGTAACCTCCGCCCTGTCAAATTTGACGGGACGAGCAAAGACTTGGGCCTTAGGGCTCAAGCTTCACGACCCGATACGTGACTAGAGTCGTTAGGATCGATCTTGGAGTCTCGACTTAAAGAGACGATTCGAGCCGCCGAGAGCCGAGTCCAGAGCACGCTCTGCACTCTTGAGGCTAAAGCAAGGTAAGCGTGACGTGCACGCTTACGCACAACATCCTGCGCTACCTTGCGAGTAGCGTCACAGGAAACCCTGTTGTTGAGCACGCGCGCATCAACGTGATGATCTACGGCCTTTTGGATGAGCCGGTCAAGACCTACATGTTCCAAAAGGACTTCCATAAGCTGTAAAATGCGATAGCGTATGAGGAACGAGAAGATTATAGCCTGAGACAGTCTCAGGATAACTCGTCCAACTATCGTCCGACGAGATGAAAGAAAACCGGAGGTCCCGAATCTATGGATCAATGTTACATTAAGAGCGAGACCTCCCGCTCTCTTAGTCACAAGCGAACGGCAAGATGTCATCGCTGTCAGAAGATTGGACACTACGCTCATGAATGTAGTGCCTCAAGGACTGCAACACGTCCGAAGACAGGACGTGATGACCGCCGTTGGCATAAGAAAGGTCCAAGGCGCGGATCCGACCATGTCTCTAAACCGCGACAGCTAATCGGACCGCCAAAAACGGGCAGGGTCAGTAAGGGCGGAGCACCCTGCTGATCCAGCAACGTCAAGAGAATTTGCAGGTCTGTTGACGAAGATTGCTCCCAACACACAGTCGCTGTGGATTACTGCACCTAGTGATGAGGAGTCCCTCATCACTTTAAAGATCGAAATGACAAGTGGAATGTCACTTCGCACCCTAGTTGACTGTGGGGCGTCGAACAGTTTTATTCGACGCCAGTCGCTAGGAGATAGTAGGCTCAACTATGTTAAGCGAGAGTTTCCTCCAACGAGGTTGACGGTGTGCCTTGCTAAAGGCGCATCTGTAACAGTGAACAAACGTGTAGTGGGATCCAAGACACGCTAGCAGGAAAGCATTACGATGATGGCTTCATCGTACTTGATTTGGATGACAAATTTGACGTCATCCTCGGTCTGACATGGCTCAGAGGATGCAAGCCATGGGTCAGCTGGCAGCATCTCTCCGTGAATATGCATGCCGTTTGTTCATTAGATGGTCATCTGATGAACGTCTTGGAGCGTTTACGAGCGTGTGGATGTACTACTAGTGAGTGCGATGGCCTCACTTGTGGTAAGGTCGTTAGTGAGACTGCACAAGATCACAGTGTAAAACGCTACTAAACTGTAGAACCATCTTCCGGCATCTGTGTAGAGACACAGTCTACGCCGAAGGTTCACCACTCGAAGAGATCGATTGGACTGGAACACGGATGCACACCAAGAAGGTTGTACTCAAGAAGAGTGATGAGTGTTGTTCAGGATGAAAAACACGTTAAGCGAGATCGACTATCACAGAATCGATCGTAGAGCAAGCCCGATCGACTATCACAAAGTCGATCGTAGAGCAAGCCCGATCGACTAAAAGAGAGTCGATCGAAGAGGACGTGATTTTGGTAGTGCACTCAAAGTCAGTACAATATTGAAAGAAAGTTTCAGCGTTCCTGAGAGTGATAACTCCCGAAAGAGTAATGTTGAGGTTGAGTTTCCTTAACCACCTACATAGGTGTTTTCCCAGGAGTTCACTGAGACAGTGAATGTCTTGGTGAATGAAGGATCAAGTGTTGGCGCTTATTCACTTGATCTGGTCACACCTTCGATGTCATCTTCGAAACTAATCATAGTTTCCATCGCTAGAATTTAAAATATTCTTGCGAGATCTGCGGAGTGACAAAACCTAGCAGATCTGCGTACTCGTCACATAGGACGAGTATGTCGCCGACAATCGTTCGGCACAGGTGTTTACTGTGAACGAACGGGTTCTCAGTAGCTCACCTAAGGACGAGAGTATCCTCGATAAAAGACTCGGATTGAGCGATACACGTCTCGATCTTGGGAGTCGTTCAAGACAAATCCTTTGTCTAAAGAATTGGTCGAACTTAGGGATGTTTCCTTGAATCCGTGCCATGCGAGCTGCCCAAAGACAAATGCACTCGGCGTGAGATCGAACTGAAACCTGGTTCGAAATACTGTGTCGTGAAGCAGTGACCACTGACTCGTGAACAGGTCACAGCGATCGACAAGCGCTTTGCCGATCGCTTAGCGGCTGGTCATTTGAGGGAATCAACATCCCTACACATCTCTCCGACCTTCTGTGTGCGAAAAGCCGCATGATGGTGGCGGATAGTGCACGCGATCAAAAATTGAACGCTGCAACGGTAACAGCTCGGACGCCGATACCGAATAAGGACGTCAGCATAAATGGTATGGCAAAGAGTACCATCTTTTCGTCCGTTGATCTGACGTATAGATTATATCAGATACTCATGCGTGAGCGGGATATTCCTTACACAGCAGTGATCACCCCCAGCGGTGTGCTCAGGGAGTGGCTATTGATGCTACAGGGGCTAAGTAACGCCCCGCAACGTTTAACAAATGTGTTACAAATCTGTTGCGATCGTTGCGCAATTTCGCACCGAGTTACTTTGGTGATGTCTTCGTCCATTGCCGAGCTATAGATGGAAAGATGGACGTGGAGGTTGATAGAATCCATTTCCGGAGGGTTCTTACATGAATGCGAGAGCATAAGCTGTTCGCGAACCTCAAAAGGTGTCTCTTCGCAGCAAACGAAATACCACTTCTTGGCTGCATCGTGGGTAAAAACGGTGTGCGCCCTGATCCGGAAAATATCAAGGCGATTAGCGACTGGCCTGTGCCAGTCGAAGTCAAGAGACTTCGAAAACTTCCTTGGCTAAAAGGCGGCGTACTTGCACAAATACTCGCGCAACTATACCGAGATGACCGTACATCTCCTCGTTTGTTGAAGCAAAATAGAGGGCGGTTATGGACTGCAGAGTGTCAGCACTCTTTTAAAGGCATCAATAAAAGCTTATTGCAATCGCCTGTGTTGGTGACTGCAGACCAGGACAGACCATCTCATGCGGTCTGCGACGCCAAGGATTTTGCAATCGGCTGCGCTTTGATGCAATCCGACTCAAACGGAGTTGAGCGCTTCGTCTGTTATCAATCGCGTCAGCTGCAAGCAGCTAAGCGAAATTACCCGGTGCAAGACAAGGAACCCCTTGCCATGAAATAGGCACTGGCTAAGTTACGGTTATATCTCTTAGGAGATAGGCCCCTCATCGTTTATACCGACCATGCGTCGTTACGCACGGCTGTAAACAGTTCACGCCTCTCGCAACGAATGGCGAGGTAGCTGTCTTTCTTCGCGGAGTACAACATCTCTTTAAGCATAAACCAGGACGACTGAATGTCGTCGCTGATGCTGTTTTGCGTCGGACCGATTTCAAGCCGACTGCCCACCCAAAAGTAGGGGTGATCCCACTGTTGCGA